CCTTACCAACACACCTGATTCAACTCATCAGCTCATAATCAGATGGGTTAATGAGCTGATGAGTTGAATCGGGTGTGTTTTGATTAGGGAGACAAAGAATGCGTGCAGTGTTGGTGTGCCGCCAGGAACTTATACTACGCTTATACTCGCTTACTACGCCCTAAAAGTATGTACTATTTTTGTGAGGAAAAAGTACATACTTTTGAGTGTGTAGCGAAAGAGTAGGCAAGCTTTGGGGCATACTATCAAGTCATCTTCAACGGACAACTCTGTCGGCTGCTGCGTGCATCCTGTCAATCATCTTGTCACAGTTAAAATCCTCCATTCTATCTAATTTTATTTCCTACCGTTTCGGATAGCACGTTCATCTGCCAGTTGTCGGTCTTTCATGCTCTCCTCGTGTTTGCAATTTGAATATAATGTTTAATCCAAGACAAGATTTAATTTAAGCTTTTTGTGTTTCGAAGACCAACCAAAGGCTTATGGGTTTGTAGTAATGATGAATTTCCTCAGAAATATTAGTTTTGAGTGAACTATCCCTTTAAGCTATCTAAACTGTTCAAATGTGGTCTGAACTGACCTTGAATGGGTAACAAAGTCGTAGACTGGAATTTGGACCGTTCTTCCCTCCATGAGATCACACAGGGTTTTGATTATCAACTCATTATCAAACGCATCTGCAAGATTGAGTGAAAGAAGGTCAGTGAGACAACAAAGAATTTGTTCTAAGGTTTACTGATCCACAGGACGTGGAAATCGAGAAACAGCAAAAAGGTGATAAACCACTTGTGCAGCTGCAGAATGAGTATGTATGAGGGTGGCTGAGTCAGGCAGTCACTCACACACTCTCACAATACAAAAAGCACACATACAGAACCATAAATTTGTAATTAATAATTTGAAATAATTTAAACTAAAATTATATCAACGTAACATGAGCTTGTCAAGCTCATTTACCTGGGTGGTCAAAGTTAAATTGTCCTTTTAGAGCCTTGGCCTTTTGTTCGGAGGTCAGTACTCTGTAGAAACTGTCCTGACTGAGGATGGCCACCTGCCTCTGATGATGGTCGATCTTATTCTGGCCAAGGAGCTCCATAATCTTCCCACAAACTGATGACTAAAAAAAATTAAGAAAGGATTGTAGTTCAGCACATATGTACTTTAACAGCACGGTTCAGTTAGTAATCTTCATTAAAACTGAAATTTTGACAAAATGGCAAAAAATTCAAGGTTAAGTGTGTAATTCCTGTGGGTGGCTACTAAACTTGATTACGGAACTGATAATGGTTTTGTATTTAGATCTAAATAATAATATATTAATTATTTTCATGGTGTTCAGTTCCATTCGGGAGGACATCGTTTATTTTATTGACAGTTCCGACACCTCATCCTCAGACTTTGAGCAATTTAGTTTGCATTAAATCAGTTGGATTAATTTGACTCACTCACTCACTCACTGAACCGTACATCATTAACTTCATCAAGTCAAAACATGAATGAACTAAGAACTGATACAGTGTTACATTGAGTATTTAAAGTACAGTATTTAAAGTCACCATGAAATTAAAAATGATTCTTATTTTTATGGAACATTGCAGTATTATTATAATGATTTATCGAAGCACATCATCATTTCTTTTTAAAAACGTGCCCATAATCTTTAATCTAAATAACTTCCCCTCCCCCTTCTATGCTGACGTGTTTACTGGCTCGAAGGCGGGACAACCTGTCACTCACATGAGATCAGAGCAAAGACAAACCACAACAATCCAATCAATTTCTGATGGATATAATTAAGTCCCACACCTACATTTTTTATTGTTCTAAAGAAGTCTCACCCGGATTTACATAACACTAGGGAAGCAAATACCATAGCAACTTCTGTTTCATGTGACTTTAAGGCTAATTAAACAAAGTTTGAGTATTGTTAGTGACTTTTTGACACAAAACAATAACATACATTAAATATCTATAAATGCCTTGCTCTGATGATATAATAATATACATGCCTATTAAAAATATAAAACAGAGCAAGGACTATAACCTACCAACACACACACACACACACACAACACACACACACACACACACACACACACACACACACACAGAGAGAGAGAAACAGGTGACACCCTGTACAAAAAAAACCCCACAAACCATGATCAGTTACGAAAACACACAGGTGTTTGTTCACATTGTCACAAAGATTTCAGCAGCACCTTGAAAATGTCTAGTACACTGACTATCTTCATAAAAACGGATCTATATTACCCAAGGCTGTCTTATACACTGTCATATGATACATTACAAGATACGGAGGAAGGATGAAATCTGACAATCTGATGAGCCCAGCACAAAAGAGAGAGAAATAGCATTAAAATGTACAAGGTCTATATTGTACCTTTTCAAATTGCTGACTTATGAGAAATTTTAATACTCTAGAGAACATCCTCAATTCAGAAAGGGTTCATACACACTATGCAAAAATGACTAAACTTAGACACAAAGTCGTTTGATGTATGACACTGAAGAGACTATTAAAAGCTACTATTATGAAAGACCAGATAGTATAACTAAGTGACCGACCCATAATCAGTTTTGCTGATATTTCCCCAATATTTACCAGTAAGCATGTTTCCATTATCATGTAGCGGTTTTGTTACATCGGATTCACCGATAATTCACCATTTTTATTTTTTGCACTCTTTCAATCCCTTTATTTACTAAGTGTGTTTTGTTATGTTAAAAATGTTAAAAAGTTTAAGACAGTTTTGTTCAGTTCAGTGCTGTTATAACGGTCAAAAAAAGAAATAATATGTATCGGTTCTATATATCGATTATCGGGTACATAAATATTCAAAATTCGTAACAATTAAAAAAGTCAATATATAGGTCGATCTCTAGAACACTCAAAACTACATGCGATGAGTTCAGATTAGCAGATCATGTAAAGACTAAAGACACAACCACACGCCAATAAGAGACAGCCCGCAGTGCAGGCATCTCCAACTGAATCCTGCGGAGTCTGATGAAACCCTGCTGTATCTAACCTATGAGTATGCGCTAAAATGTCTTGCAAAGCTATTCCTCACCAGCTGCAATGCTGTCTGCCAGGCCCTCAATCCATTTAAAGCATAATCTACAAACAGTTCAAGCTGTCTCAAGCCCTATATAAGAAGCTACACACATATACAACAAGCATGACATCCTCTGCTTCAAGGCCTTCATGTTTTTCAAAACAGAATGCATTTCTGACTTAAGAGTTACGGAAAGCACTGACTTTTGTCACTCACACAAAAAAATTATCACAGCTCTGCTCAAACACATTCATTGCATTAACTTTGTGTTGCAGTTTTTTTGGTAAAAACCTATATGCAACACAAAGTTGGTAAAACCTAACCCTAACCCTAACCCTAAGGTTAATTCAAGGAATTTTTAACAAGGTTCCATTTGCTACCATTAGTTTTCCACTGTGTTAAAGTCTTGCAAAAAGAAGGAGAAAAAAGGAGCTCAAACACTACTTTGACATTTTATGGTACAGGTCTGTGCCCAAGATCTATGAACTTCAAGCCAAGGTAGCTTCCAACCAGTTCATATGCTCAATGGCCTTTTTCAGCTTGTTTGACGGTGTGAGGGCAGGATAACCTGTCACTCACATGAGATCATCAGCAATAGCAAACCACAACAATCCAATCGAATCATGATGGTCAAAATTAAGTCCCACCTACATTGTTTTTCTTGTTCGAAAAGCCATTTCACTTCTACATCACAACAATATAAAAGAATATACTATAGAAACTTTAATTCCCAAGCATTTTTTGTGTACCTAACAAGCTAGTCTAGTGCACTTATAGTGGGTTGTATGATGTATGCTCTCAATGCAAAGAAATGGCTGCATTAAACAGAGCCTGACAGAAGCTTTCTACAGCAGATCCAGGATGTAAACAAGCTGGTGTCCTAAAACAGCACACTGAGAGGAGAGCATAACATATCAGCACTGGGCAAAACATTGAGTGTCTACATGGCCAAAGGAATGATAACATACTGCTTGAGGGCGTCTATACAGTCAAAGGATTTTCACTGAGAAAACAGACTACACGTTCTCCAGCAGTGCGGTAGAGAGAAACCTGCACACCTGACAGCTGGGAGATATTGCAGTCACAACATAAGCAATAAGATAAGCTAACAGAAGAAAGGAACAGACAAGTCATGTACAGAGACCATTTAAATTATGACTAAACATAGTGGTGATTTAATACAATGTAATTAAAAAAAGGTGACTTAAACTTCATCACAATTGGTCAGCAACTAGGGCCAATAATAACATAAAAACTGTTACCCACACATTCACAACACAAAATCCTGCACACAAAACATAACACTAAAGTCTAGATTATGACATGCTACCAAGTCATAATAAATTGAAATTATGAAACAATAATGACATAAATCTAAATTATGAAATAAGTCAGAATTATGACATTAAGAAGTAGAACGAAAATGAAATACTAAATCATAATTATAAAATAAAAAGTAGAAACTGGCATACTAAGTCAGTCAACATAATTATAATTCAGCCTAAAAGCATGTAAAAAAAAAACAAACAAAAAAAAAACATTGGCTTCCATAGGCTACATAAAAAATATGACAAAAATATTAAAAGCAATATGTATATAACTGATGTCATTCAAAAATGAATTTACATCAGTTACTTGCATTGTTTCTCTCCCCCCCCCCCCTTTCTCTCTCTGTGTGTAATTGTAGAATGGCATTGTAACTTTAATAATTTTTATTGTAGCATTTTACTTTAACTTTACAGTTATAATATTATTTATTCCCTACACACACAAAAAACACTACTGGAAAATAAATTCCATTAATATTTAAAATGACAACTAAAACAAACTGAAAACAAACACTTCTTCATTGGAGCAGCTGTCTTGACGTGTCACTGCGTAAGGACGCACGCTGCTTCTACGCACGTAAATGAAGATGTGACACATTCGCTGTGCCGCTGACCCCAATAACGATAACCAACAAAAGCTCCGCTATTATTCTTCTTAATCGTCCACATTCAGGAGTTATTTACGTTTAACGCCAATTACACATCTGTAGAACCTGTTATCTCATTCTCTGATATCACACACACCATTAGCCCATGAAACAAAGACCGTTCTTTGTGCTTGTAGGTAGGCTATAACTGTTATCCTAGCGGACAATGCTTCATTCATTCACATATAAGTTAGACTTTCCTCACACCACGTAAAGTGAAACTGTAATTAGGTTGTTCGCCAGCGGATGAGATTTAACTGAATCTGATGGAATGTCAGAACGATTGGTGATTTACCCGGCGCAAGTTTCATGCTTTTTTTTAACAACAAAGACAGTGGTATTTTGCTTCGATAGCCTACAACAACGCCTGATCCACAACAATCCTGTTACTTTTCGCAAATTAATTAAACTGGCTCTTGAGCACTTCAAAAAGAAAATAATAGTAACGATTAAATGCTTTTAATAAGTTGGTATACGTCCACCATCGCGATGGTTTGCATGGCGATGGTGTGTGGGAGCTGTCTAAACAGGGAAATGACCAACATATTGTTTTTAAGGGATATAAACTACTCAATATATTCTCACAGTACGTGTATTTTAGTTTTAAAATAGCCTACCATAATGTACCTATTCGTTTTTTTATTTCGTCTAAATACGTTAACTTGATTTAAAAAAAAAAAAAACAATTAAAAATAAGATCACTTACATGCTAAAAGTCTACATGCCCGTTTTTGCATCGGACCTGTCAAACCATCTCGGGGAATAAAATACATTTTCACACTGATGATTCCGTGACAATGAGCCACGCGGTCAGTGTGCGCTCATCTCATCTCTGTGACAAACGCAAAATCAAACGATAACTAAATTTCATGTAAGGTAAAGCAGAATGCCAACCTTGCCGCTGGCAGTGCCGCCGGCTACCCCGATGAGGAAAGGTTGCCTGACAACATGCTCATTTTCGGCTTGGTTGTCCAACTTGCTGTCGCTGTCTCCTGCCATGCTGTCAGTGCGCTCTGAGACTCAGAGCTGCTTTTACCACGGCAAGCACCGGCTCCTCCTCCCCCTCCCCTTCCTTTCAATTGTGTCTATCCTTTTCCTTTGCCCTTTGTGTGTGCAATTACATTTGTTGGTTGGAATTCTTAGATATCCAGATTGTAAGAAAGTATGAAAAGTTTGAAAACCTCAGGTTTAATAGTAGTTATTAACCTCTAATAGTAGATAGATAGATAGATAGATAGATAGATAGATAGATAGATAGATAGATAGATAGATAGATAGATAGATAGATAGATAGATAGATAGATAGATAGATAGATAGATAGATAGATAGATAGATAGATAGATAGATAGATAGATAGATAGATAGATCATATAATATTATTAAATATATTATGGGGCAAGTTGTCAGAATGGAACCTGCCAGCAAAATTTAAGCAGACGAAAACAGTATGAAAGAAAACAATTAATGAAAAAGAACAATGTGTAGGCTACTCTGTATTTGTGAACTATCCACAAATATCTGGCAGTACCTTGTGTTCTTATTGTTTTTTAATCAAATTGTTTTTTAATCAAATCCTTTTAACAACCGCAGCACACTAGAGTCCTGCCGACTTTATATTTGTCTATGAGAGAGTGAATTGTTAATAATATAACTCAATGTAACAATGCACATTGAGAAAAAATTAGGTATAGCCTGAATAAAGTGTCATCATATATATATATATATATATATATATATATATATAACAATTAAACGAGAGCACAGGCTCACAACTACAATATTTGTTTCAATGTGGATATATAACCTTGTAACAGCCTAAATGGTTATTTAAAAACTAATAATAATTAAAGAATCAGAATCAAAAAGAGCTTTATTACAAATTATGCTTGCACACAAGGATTTTGTTTTGGAGACATGTAAGAAGCTTACAGTACAAATACAACAACAGTACATTGTAACACAATAAAATAAAGATTTATGTAAATAAGACACATGTATAAATTAGGGCTGTCAAACGATTAATCGCGATTAATCGCATCCAAAATAAAAGTTTGTGTTTACATAATATATGTGGGTGCACTGTGTATTATTATTTTATATATATAAATACACACCAATGCTTGTATATATTTAAGAAATATGTATATGCTGTATAGAGATTTAGCCTATATATAATTTATATTATAATATTTTATATATAAATAATATTTTTTTCTTAAATATACAATGGGTGTGTATTTATATATATATACAAAACAATTATACACAGTGCACCCACATATATTATGTAAACACAAACTCTTATTTTGGATGTGATTAATCGTTTGATAGCCCTAGTATAAATATAAACGTAATAGCCCAATTTGTATGTACAGGGGTGCTATATATTAATAGAATTAGCAGGGAATGGAATAAAAAGAGATAGAGTATTGCCAAATAAATATAAGTGATATTGCATAGTGGGGAAAACATTTAACTGTTTATGAGGTAGATAAGTCCGAATCATCCCAGTATTCTGATGTCTAATTCTGCAGTGGACAGACGAATTGACTGCTGAGATAAACTGCATCAGCAGCTCCTGTGACAGCTCCTCAGCTGGCAAAGGAAGTAGTCTCTGTTGGGCCTTTTTCACCATGGCATGGAGTCAAATGTGATTGTCCCACTTCAGGTGAGAGATGGTGTCACCCGGGAGCCACCGGGCTGTTCATGATCGTTACTGTGGGGAGAGTCACTGATCTATAGAATGACATTACATAGATCAGTGGGGAGAGTGCTTGGGGGGTTTCTCCTTAAACTCACTATCATCATCATAATCATCATCATCATCATGACGGGTCACTGCCACTAGAAGGAGACGTGGTGTCATGAGATCGTAGCTTGAACACATTCAGCACCCACGAAGAAGCCGGGCGCACATTGATGACATCACCACAGTAATGCTGACGCTGCTACTGTAGAGGTTGTCCCCCATCCGAAGTATTAAGTAGTATTATTATAGATTTTCTAATCGTTTTTCCAAAATGAGCACCATGTTTGCAGATACAATTCTAATCGTGTTCATATCTATTTGCACAGCATTATTAGCGGAAGGTATGTAAATCTTGAAATTCAGGTTTAACGTTATGTCTGAAAATGTATCGAGTGTATAGGAAAATGTCCTAAGTTCAGCAAATACAGGACAAATGCTTTAGCTCAAATAGTGATAATAATTATAAATAGTGTGGTATTTCGTGTTGCATTACCATGAAAAGAGAGAATAGAAAATAAATGAAATGAAATAACCGTTTACTTTGTCTGTTTCTACAGGAATAACATGGGTTCTGGTGTACCGCACAGACAAATACAAGAGACTAAAGGCTGAGGTTGAAAAACAAAGTAAAAAACGTAAGTTGTATGAATGCATGATGTGTCATTTGCATGTGTTTAATCCAAGTGACCATTGTTTAAATTGTGCAATATGTTTTAGTGGAGAAAAAGAAGGAGACTATTACAGAATCAGCTGGGCGTCAACAGAAGAAAAAAATTGGTAAGATAGTTAAAGTTATTATTAAAATTATAAAACAAAGTTGTAAAGCTATTATTATAAGTAAAATAGTGAATAATAATAATTATTGTTATAACAGTTAGTACAAATTCAATTATTATAGTGCAACATGGACATAGGTCCTCAAAGAAACATAAATGGAATTGCTATAATGTTGCCTTCAACAGAGAGACAAGAGGAGAAACTGAAGAACAATAACAGAGACTTGTCTATGGTATTATAATATTTTCTATTCCAATTCTCAAATTTATATAATATTTCTTATGTTGTGTTATTTTTTTATTAATTATCATAGTGAATGTGAGGTGAAGTTTTTTATTTTATTTTTTTAATGGCATTGTATTAAATATATTTTAATTGCAGGTCCGGATGAAATCGATGTTTGCCATTGGCTTTTGCTTCACTGCTTTGATGGGCATGTTCAATTCCATGTAGGTAGACTCATTCGTTGCATTATCAGAGGCGCTTTGTTATAACTGTTCATTGTTCAATAATATCTTAGGCTAATAGTAGTTTGATTTGCTAAAGTTACCTGAAATGGCCTGCTACTTAATTTATGTGCTTTCCTTAATTCCAGCTTTGATGGTCGTGTTGTGGCCAAACTTCCATTTGTCCCATTGTCGTATATCCAAGGTCTCTCACACCGTAACCTCCTTGGTGAAGATTACACCGACTGTTCCTTCATCTTCCTCTATATCCTGTGCACCATGTCGATTCGACAGGTAATGTTTATCTATTGTTTATATATTACTTCTTCGGTGTTTCTGCGAGTGAATGGGGCAAAATCCAAGTTGTAAAAATGTAATGGCAGTTTTAAAGGAAAAGTTAAACTTTGACACTGCTCAATTCAGTTGTTTGTTTTATGTAATGTATGCTCTAACTTTTACCACTGAATACCTTTATTTTCAGAACATCCAGAAGATGTTGGGTCTCGCCCCCTCCCGTGCCGCCACCAAACAGGCTGGAGGATTTTTAGGACCTCCTCCACAAGCTGCCAAGTTTTCATAAACTGTAGTTACCAACAAAGCAAAAAACAAAAAGATGAGACACTCAGCTGTACAATGTGTGAGCAACACTCCGTGTGAGAGTATGATAGCCACAGAAGTCATGAACATTTGTGTTGTACTCCCAATTCTAACAGAAAATGCTTGAGCAAATGTAGTTCTGAATGTAAATTTAGTCTTAAGCCTTTCTTTAAACCTTTTTGTTGCTCAGAAGGATAAAAAGATTCTTTGTTGAAACTAATATTATTTTATGATAAATTACCAGCAATATTAATTAATGAATAACATTCATAATAAAAATTTGATAGAATAGTTTCACCCGTGGATTCTGTTTATCTTTTTTTTTTATTGTCTGTTAATGTTTAAGTTAAAGGATTTTTGTGAGTCTAGATCTTGTGCGTTTGTTCGTCTGTATTTTGTTTATGTCACTATTTAATGTACAAAATACATTTGTACAGAAATAAAATTGACTAAGCAAAGAGCTTCAGTTTTCCTTAAAAAAAAGGGGCCCAAGTTGTCATTTTAGGCTTCTGTAATTATGCTGCAATTTTCCCCTCAGAATACATTTTATTCTACTGTGAGTTACTGTTTCTTTTTATAATGTAGTCACAGATTGTTAATGTAGCTTTAATAATATTTGTTTAGGTGGGTATAACGATTGCATACATTTTACAGAAGGTTGCAAAATGGACATTCAAGGTTTTGTAAAAGACTAAAGAACCAGACAGTTCCTCAGCACAGACCCTACAAAAGGATGCATTTTTGATTTCTGATTTGTGATGGTGCCTGAATCATAATCACCACAGTGTGTGTTTGTTGGCCAGAGGTTGACTGGCCCCCAGACTGAACCTGGTTTCTCCTAAAGTTTTTTCTGCATTCTGTCACTTGATGGAGTATGGGTTCCTTGCCACTGTTGCCTCTGGCTTGCTTAGTTGGAGGCACTTAATATTCAATCAAAAAAATATTATTGATTTGACTCTACTGACACTTGTGTGAAAACTGAACTGAGCTGGACGATGTCATTTTTTTTTTTCAGGACTGCTTTACAGGTTAAATTAAGTGATTTATTAATTGATGATCTTTACAACTGAACAGAATCAATAGTTGAACAGGCAAAATGCAGATAAAATGTGCAGACAAGTACATGTGAGAGAGAGAGTTGCAGTGCATTCAATTTAAAGATGCATATCTGAATGTTTTGCGCAATTCTTGCCCTCTGGAACTGCCAAAATATGTTGGAAGTAACCATACAAATGTGGTCCAAAGGCGGTGCTTAATGTAAAGTAACATTCCCATTTCATCCCACCCACCTCACTTATGCAAGCAAATCACGGGGTCAGTTTGAGTAACCACATGCTTTAAGTCGAAAACAATTGTGGTGACCCTCCTCTTTTCGCCCACAACCATAGAAGGCGAACGATCTACTTGTATTGTCTGCAGCAAACAGTTTGTTTTTGAAAAGGTAAGGAACTTGAGCTTGAAACGACCT